TAATCTATGATTGAGACAGTTTGTTCAAATTAACTTATATCATGGATTCATGATAGATGGTGTGAGATCAAACTATTAACAAATAGGTTCGACTAACAAACTTAGATATATAAGTTCTTAAAGTACGATTTTTAAAAAGCGATATTTATATAAAATATAAATCATTTTCTTTTATATATATATAACTAAAGTATTATTTGGAGGTTCTCATAACTAAGTCATTTATTTAATTTTAAACTAAACTCGTGAACCTTTAGATGCATGTTTTTAGGTATCTATTTAAATATATGTTCCCAAAATATGATCTTCAAAACCAAATTTAACATTTATTATATTTCATTTTCCTGTATATGATATTTTTGTCCACTTGCTAGTTGATATCAGGGGTCATATGGTAATTTGATCCCATCCTGCCAACAACCAATTTTTCAAACCCAATCAACGTATTTTCTTCACTTTTTCAAAAGTGGAATTAAAGTCATGAGAAACCGTGTCAAAAGCTCAAGAACCCTTTTCAAACACAACCCGTTAATTCATTGCTTTAGTACCTTTCATTCATCCAAGGTAAAGAACCAAAAAAAAAAGTTTGTCATCCAAAACCTCCAAAACAACCCATTTGATAGTTTTAATCATCTTCATCAAACATGGCTATGAGCAACAATGTCATTGGAGGCATTAACTTCATCGCCATGTTGCTCTCGATCCCAATCATTGGAGCCGGGATCTGGCTATCAACAGAGGCAGATAACACTTGTGTTCAGATCCTACAATGGCCTGTTATAATTTTAGGTATCTTGATCTTGGTTGTGGCCATAGCCGGCTTCATTGGAGGATTCTGGCGAATCTCATGGCTCCTCGTGATCTATCTCATTGCCATGCTTGTTCTCATCATCTTGCTCACATGTTTGGTGGTTTTCGTGTATATGGTAACCATCAAAGGTTCAGGTCATCCTGAGCCAAGCCGATCTTTCTTGGAATACAGGCTTGACGATTATTCAGGATTTCTCAAAAGAAGAGTTAGAAGCCATTACAAATGGGATAGGATTAGAACTTGTCTAAGTTCCACTACTTTATGTGCTGAACTTAACCAAACTTATCGCATGGCTCAGGATTTCTTCAATTCCCACCTTACTCCATTACAGGTTCTATGCTTAACTCATATGCTATTTTCTTTTCTTAATCAAAACTGTTTAAACATACTTTCATCGATCTTCTTCAGTTTTATCGTTTAAATCCTTTAAGTTTATAACTAAAAGTAATATTTTTTTTTTGGAACATGACATGGTAGTGTGGTACATGTTTTCAGTATGTGCGTAAAAGGTAATCATAAGGATAGAGTAAGAGGCATGAAAATGGGATGGGAATAAGTGAGAAATGGTTTTCCTAAGAATATATATAAGTGTGAAAAAGGTCTCATCAATAAGTTTTAACTTTTCTTTTTATCTTTTTAACTTTTTTCTTTTAAACAGTCTGGATGTTGTAAGCCTCCAACACAATGTGGGTATACTTTTGTGAATCCGACATATTGGATAAGTCCCATCAATAATGCAGCTGATATGGATTGCTTGAACTGGAGCAATGAGCAGACAGGGCTTTGCTATGGTTGTGATTCATGCAAGGCAGGGTTGCTTGAGAATTTAAAGAAAGAATGGAGGAGAGCAAACATAATTTTGATCATAACCCTTGTGGCTTTGATATGTGTTTATGTGATTGGGTGTTGTGCTTTTAGGAATGCGAAAACAGAAGATCTCTTTCGCAAGTATAAGCAGGGTTACACGTAATTTATTAATCAAGACACGAAGGCTGAACTTAACTTGCGGAACATGGGGATGCATGTATTCTTAGTGCAATTTTATGATCGTATCGAGTGTGAATTACTATCTTTGAGGTTTGAATTTATTTAAGACGGGTTTGTTTTAATCCAAGTTTTTTTTTTTTTTTTTTTTTTTTTCTGGGGGGAGGAGAAATCACATAAATAGTTTTTAAGTGATCAAATTATGCAAACTAAAGTATAAAATGCAAAAACACACAAAAAAAATAAGCAATATTTATGCGTTATCTAAACGGATGTCTTAAAAAAAATATTATGATATCTAATTGCCAAAACTTATGTAATAATCACTGAAAATGAAAATTAGGTGAACGTATATGCTAAAAAACTACAAAACAAGACGAAGTTGTAAATAAAAATTGATATCATTATATATTTGGAGGTAGGTTCTATTGAAATTCGGAACAAAATAAAGATCTTGAGATTCAACCCCAGTTATACATTTTCATTTTCCGCTCTAACACTCTAGCGTACCGATGAGGCGGAATAGTTATATTAATAAATGATTATATAGTATGGTTCGTTACTTTTTTTCCCCACCCACAACCACCACCAACACCACCACCACCACCTTGGCCACCAACCAACCCGGACTGTCACATCCGACATCTCTAGCACCACCACCTCTGACATCACCATCTCATCTGCCACCAACCACGATAATCATATATGATTAATCACTCTCTAAACAGACATATATGTATAATAATTCATTATTATGTATATATGTATAAATATGTATAATAATTTATTATTATACCCCTCCGGTCTGTAATCATTTGTGATTAGGCATATCATTCCTATTCCAGTACACTGAAACATTATAACAGTAAATAAGAAATACATGACTTGGATTGAATCTCAATTTTTTTTTTTAGAATGGAAATAAATAAAACCGTTCTATATACTTATTATCAAAAAAGAACTACAATAGTTTTTCAAAGTAAGGGTTAAGTGCAACTTGCATCGAGCTTAGTGACTTAGTGACTTAATGTAGGTAAAAAGAAAAAATAAAAAGTGAAACAAGAAACTAAAAAGTAACGTGATTTGAGGAGGGCACCGAAAGTGTAATATATATATATATATATATATATATATATATATATATATATATATATATATAGAGGTGGGTTCAATTG